TTGCAAACTCTTAAAACTGACAGGTTTCTATTCAGTTATTTCAAAAACAAGTCTGCCTCTTCCTGCAGTATTTCAGAACAGCAGGCTCTCAGGAACTTCTGAATTTTAATTTAGTTTCAGTATTTTAAGAAGTCTTAGGTGGGTTGCTTAGTTAATGTATGAACACAAGGGACTGGTGTTTGGACTCTTACAGAAACAAAATTGAAGTATTTAACAAGCCTTCTGTGCCAACTGCTCCAATAATGTACATATTTATTTGCAACCTGGAAGAATGATGTTATAGCTTGATCATAAGTGGCAAATATGCAGTCAAGTCTGCTCAACTAAAGCAATTAATCTGTTTGCCACAAGTGAGATGTTTGAAAGGACAGGAAGGTGATCAGACACTCATAGCAGGTACTGAAACTTGACTAGGCTGGCTGAGCTCCCTTTGACTAGAATTAGTTGAACGCTATTTAAACATGACCATTGGGGAAACTTGCAAGGAATTATTCCTAAGAAGTTCAAGTAACTCAAATGAAAGGTGGAACCTGATGTTGACTGTCTGGAAGCTGCATCCAGAGGATATTGGGAAGTTAAGAGTATGCTGCTTTGTGGTTGCCCTGGTGGAAAACTTACACGAGCTAATTAAATAAAGTTAATCCTCAGATGTTCTCCTTTTTTGTGGGTTTTTGTTCATATTTCATCTTTAGTTTTAACCAATGATAATTGTCACTTCCTCCTTTGGCTGTATCATGTACAGATTGGTTTATCTTTGAGTGTAAGATTGTGCAGTGATACTCAGTTTTGCAGAGTTGTATCCAGCATATATTAAATTCTCCTTGGGGAGATTGCTGCTTGTCTGGGGAAGGTTGGCAGGAAGGTGTTGGTTTTGTGCCATGTAGCTGCTTGCGTGTTGCATTCAGACCTAGGGGTGGCTGGCCAAGATTCCTGGCCAGTCCCTATGCGTAAGTTGCTATAAGTCTTCCCTGTTTCCAGGCTTTTCTTCATTTCCAGGTTCTTCCTAATCCAGTCATGTTTCCTGTCTAAATCGTCTATAATCAGAAATCCAATGATCTGCCTTTGGCTTGGTTGCTTTGTCTCTTTAATTGGAGGATTCAATAAGTACCACTTTTTGATCCAGGTGTTAACCAGATTTACAAATAGCCCATCGCTTGTTGCAGTTAGCAAGAAGCAGGCTTCTGCATGAGAGTTCAAAAGTTCTTTCAGACATTTGCTGTCACCCTGTCATACAAGCAGGAAATAACTGTCAGCATTTATAATCAGAATTATTCTTCACCTGCCACGTTCTCACTAAAGTTTCTCAGGAGTTCAATAAACCATTTTACTGGCAAGTTTTTAAAAGATTTTGTATACATTAATGTGACTAATGAATATACACTCAAGAATTCATCCCTAATCAACACTTCATGTGATGGCAACTTGGCGTTTTTAACCATACCATGCCTTTAAAATGAACTAGAGGTGTTTTTGAAGCTTACTTCATGATGAATTTGCCAACTGGATTTGTACATCCAGTATTACACAGTGAAGAAAAGTAGCAGTGAAATTTAAGATGGTCCTGGCTTAAATACTCAGCTTTGATCAATACTTGCAGGAAGTTTAAGAAGCAGAACTTCCAGTGTATTATTTCCTAGTTGTCTCTTATGCTGTCTTCTGTAAAATATTTGCAAGTAAACCAGTTTTCTTTCACAGTTATCCCTGCTGTGGCAGAACTTGTGGTATGATTGATTGTTTCTATTGTATTTTCTGCTTTGACTTCAGGAAAAGAATTCAGGGTGAACTTGAGACTGTGCACTCAAGAGAGTAATCTGCTTCTAGGTAGTGCCTACTTGTAATGGTATCATGCCACATAGAATGGTAATTTCATGCTCAGATAATATTACAATTTAAGCTACAAATTAGTGAACCCTTTCAATGCTCATGTTTTGCTTCTGAATAATCAGTGCAGCCATAACTCTTCAGATTCTTTGTGGTGTTGTCTTCTGCTTAGAATTTGTATTTGGGTTCACAGCAGTTTTGTTATTTGACTTTCTCAACACAAGTTCCTGAGTTGGACAGTGGCCTACAGCAGCATTTTGAAAAATGTCCCCTTGTAGAAACTATTATGTGGTTTGTCCTAAAATAGTGGGAACTGTTGGTATGTGTGGCAGAGTTACAGCTGAAGTGTTTAAGAAAACTGATTAAGTGTAGAAGTTAACTTGTCTCCATGTAAGGAAGTAGATATTCAACCCATTATGTCAGCACTGAAACTGTTCTGGGTATGGATAGGGAAATAAAGCACTGCTTGAGAGATGAAACAAAGGAAATAGCATCGTGCCTTCCTAAAATAATTTGAAATACTCAAGCTGTAACATTTTTTTCAGGCTCTTAGTTTGAAGCTTGTAGTTCATATTGTTAATACATCTTCTTACATCAGTGTAGGCCTGTTTTCTTGCAACCTTCTGCAAAGTCAGCTTTCTTGCAGGTAAAGCTAAGAAATGAAACAAAGAATCACTGTTTTTCCTGTAAATGTGTGTTTTGACTATACTTCTTAAAAGAAAAAACTTGTTTTGATTGTGGTAAGATATCATTTGCTGTTAGTAGTCTAAATTTTAAAACAAATTCTGTTTCTAAATTAAGATACTTTGCCAATTCTGGGTAATTAAATTAATTGAATTCTAGTGTTCTTGACTAGCTTTAGTGAGATGTGGTTGTTAGAAATAATCTGGAAGTTGGGCTAATTTTAACATCCTCCTATTCAGAGAGATTGCATGAGTGATAGCACTTCAATCAAATTTATAGCTATAAAGAGGATTATTTCTTTGAAATAAACAGACAATTTAAGCACTTTTAACAAAATCATACTTACAGCTGTCTTCCAGACTTACCTCTAGGAAGAGTGATATATTTAGGGGGTCAGACAGAAGAATTTAGTTTCTTGAGGGCTAATATTAGAGGTAAGCCACACAGATCTGCTAAGTTTCCTGATCCTCCTGTGTTCACCACCCAGAAGGACATGTGGGACCCTCACTTACAACAGCTGATTAATGTTGAGCCTTAATTTTACTCGTTATACAAGTATTTGCTTTTTTGCCTGTAAAACATACAACTCAAATTTTTTTGATGTTGAAATTCTTATTGTGAAGAATCCGATCTTGTGTAATGGTAGAGACTGTGAGACCATTCAAAGCAAATATGAAGCTGAACATGTGTGTAGTTCCTACTCAAATTCAAGTCTGGATATGTGGCTTTTCACCAGGATGTATTTTACTTTGCGAGAAAGTAAAATATAGATTGATTTAATGGCACTTCTGCTAAGCTACTTAAACGTAAATCATGATGTTACTGTGAGCTATATAGAGTTTGAAAATTCTGCTATGTCTAGTAAGTGTATCACTTCAACTGAGAGTATTTCAGAGTCAGGACAGCAAGAAGGACTTCTAATGATGCGAGTGTCTATGATACTCCACCCCCTTCCCCCCACCCCTCAGAACTTGCAGCCTATGGACTTATTACTGTATTAAACACTTGAAGGAATGTCTCTGGGACTGGAATGTTTGGTTTTGACACTTCATGTGTAATTTAAAAGTACTACTTATGTCCTAAACTTAGAATCATAGAATCATTCAGGTTTGAAAAGACCCTTAAGATCAAGTCCAGCCATTAACATAGCACTGCCAAGTCCATCACTGAACCATGTCCCTAAGTGCCATGTCTACACGTCTTTAACTTCTCTAGGTTGTTCTTCTCTGAACTTTTAAGTTGGAACAGTGCAAATTTGCATCATTATTGCCTGATGACTTTACAACCTTTCCGAATAGAAATTGCCAAGATGCTGATGGCAGGTGTATCTGAATTGCATGTACTATTCTTTTGGAATGGGCCAGTGAAGAAAGCTTCAGTTTATTGTCAAAAAGAATGTTTTCTTCTGTTTTGAGGTGCCTAGTCCTGAATGTAGGCCAGGTTCTTATTTGAACCTGAAAGTTAAATTCTTAATGGACATATCTTTCTAGTGCATGGAGAAAAAAAAAAAATTACAACTATAAAACAAACTCTAGAGGAATCCTCATTTTCCCCAACTATGAAGCAGGTACTTTTTTAAGAAATTGATCTTGGAGAAATAGTGATACTTTTATTAATATCTTTGGCTAAGAAAATATGCCTTTGAAGTTGTACGGACACTAACAG